TTCCTTTTTACAAAATCGAGTGTATGTATATATAAATATAACCTTTCCTAGGCACAACCACAAGCTTGAGCTTTTGATTGAGTTGGTTCATTGACAATATATGATGATTATACAAATAATAAAGCTTTTGCAATGAAAATGAAAGTCAAAATTGTCACTAATCAATGTCAGCATGAATTGTTTTGTTCAAAATATGATAGTTTACACCAACGCTGTAAAAATTGGCAAATTGTATAATACATCCGGTTGTATCCAAATTTGGGTACAACTAAAAACTTACTTATGGTATGAATTTTATTTTACATGAGAATGAACACTAAGTTATTTGAGAATGAGATCTGTTTTATTTCAGAATGAACACTACATTATTTGTAGATAAATATTATAATTATATTGAACTAATTTCTGAAAATGAGTACTGTATTATTTTAGAATGAGTACCACGCTAATTATATTTGTGCGAGAATGAGTACTACTCTACTTCAGATTGAGTACTTTCCAAATATAGCGTACATCCGATTGTACCATACTCATTCCCGTAAAAAATGGTCTAGACATCCGAATTGGTCAACTCGATCAACATTATTCAGAACCGGTCAAACTTGGAGCTAGTCTGTCCGACTTGGGTTTCTTTCAAAGAGATCGGGGCGGAATAGATTATGGATCTTGACTCAACTAGCCCAAATTAATCCCACACTGGACAATCACATACAAACAATACCTAATTTAATTATAGCTATAAAATTCAATGTATGAATTCCATTCGTTTCACAAGTTTATTAATCCTTTGGAAGTTCAGGTGTTGGTACAATTCTTTAAAGATTAAAGTGTTTGAACTTTAAAAATTTGTTCCCGCACCTGAACTTCCAAAGAACAAGTAAATCTTGTTGATTTTTTTTATGGTGATTATTTAATTCTAAAAAATTCTATAAATATTCAAATATATTTTTAAAGGACCAACATACAACTATAATAAACTAGTATTTTAACCTGTGCAACGCATGGGGATGAACAAAATTTTGTCACTTCTGAAAACTATCTTCAATATAATATTTTTAATTGAATTAATATATGAAACTATATGCAATGCATTCTTTAACATTCTAGAAATTAAAATCAAAGTAAAATAAATAATTTAGCATTTAATATTTGATAACAATATTTTTTATATATAAATTCAAAAGTGAACACTTTTTGGTATCGTTGCAAGGTTTTCATTATCATCTAAAATTAATATTTTTAATCATATCTTTGCTTTCACTCGTGAAACAGTAACATAAAGTTGGTCATAAGTGAAGAACGACTTGGTTAAAAAATCCACATAGAGAGAAAGAGAGAATGAGCTTGGAAGTGGTTTTCGGAAGCATCATATCCCCATTTAATCCCACACCGGACAATCCCATACAAACAACACCGAATTTAATTATGGCCATAGCAATCAATGTATGAATTGGATCCAATTCACAAGTTTATAATTGCTTTGGAAGTCGTGGTGCTGGTACAACTATGAAGTCATTGAAGTGTTCAATATTATAAAAATTGTGGACTGATGCCCTTCAATTGTGGACTGTGATGCTCGATCTGAACACACCTCTCTCCCACCCCTTCAATTGCACCCCACAAGTAAATTGTGTGTGATTACATAGCCTTTTTGGATGTAAAAATAGGATATATAAAAGAAATACATTGCAAAGAAAAGAACAAAAGCCATGTGACGTCACACAACAAGCTTAACGAACTAAATGGTGGGGGTGGGTGGAAGCCGGCAATCTTTTAAAAATTGTCTCTACTTCCAAATAAGAGTAAGATTTACGTACATGCATTCCCCCCGGGAGCTGAGATCACTGAGAGTCGAAGACCCTTCCTTGCACATATAGTGGCGCGGCAAAAGATCGTTATATGCGCAATGCTCCCATTTCAGCTTCTACGGCCTCCCTGTCATCAAAACAAGATGTCAATCATCAACAATTGAGTCGCATTCATTAAGTCTCGTTCTCTTCGTCTTGTTTTTTTCTACTTACTACTTGTGCTTATCAGAATCAGATCAGATCAACAACAGCTTTAAATTAAACTACAAACAGATTAGATAACATTAGATTCATATACCTCACTACCTCTTGCATTTCCCGGTTTCTTGAAAGTTGGATCCAACGTTAATGCACAGGAAAATGATCTCTCTGCATTTGGATAGTTCTGCATGCATTCGTAATAGTTTGAAGTTAAGAATATAGAGTATGTTGCACGCATTTAACTAGGATGTAATACATAACAACACTCAGACCCTTTTGTTGCAAAGTATTCAATTCAGACCTCAATTGACAAATCCTATGACCATTAGTTGTACCACTTTTTGAGATCGTCCCACAACTCAAAAGCAATAGTATAAGAGACAATAATAGGTTGGATGGATTCATCCATATTATTGAATATCAAACTGCATATGATTTGATCATTAGCGTACCATGCAGACATCTCATGCTCGTCGGTTAGCTTAGGCACTCTGGTTTGACAGAAAAACTGATTTGCCTATACTGCCCAGAGCATTACAAATTGCCTTTTCCCAAATATCAAAATTATCACTCTTTATAAGATATTTGGTCAAGGAATTACCAGGACCTTCAGATGTGTGGAGATAGTATATGGAAGATGGGTCATGAATCAATCTTGTCTTCTTAGCACCTTCTGTGACTGCCATGGCGTTGAGAGATGGGAGTTTGTCGTGCTACTGTTGCGGACGACTTGACGAAGACGAGATGGAAACCGAGCTTGGTCGACCAGCGAATATAGGATAAACAGATAGAACATGATGGTGGTGACTTGTGCCCCACGGACGAAAAATAATCAAGGGTTTTTCGTGACTGACCACGAATCACTCTGATACCATGTAGAATTTACGGAATGAATTGCTTGGTTTTCCATTGATGTATCAATTATATATATAGTACAACAAGTTACCAAACTAGATAAGCAAATAAACTCCTACAAGGAATCCTATTCCTACAAGGAAACTAAACTATGTACAATAATACAATATTCTCTAATAGTACTCCAGAATATCTCTATCTTCCCTTTTCAAAATCATTCCATCTGCAAGTATATTTTTCACAAAATTACTCTTGGGTGACATGGGTTTTATTTGAAATAACTCAATAAGTCACATGTTCTTCTACTAGCAAAAGGACATCAAGGGTCTTTACATTTTGTTGTAAAGACAGAGAGATGATATTTCTTTAGTATTTTGTTAATGACCGTTAGAAAATGTATTTTTCGCATTTTGTCTTTAATGGTTTTATCTTAATAAAGCTCAGGGCATTCACTTTTTAGTTTCTTTTTTCTTCTTTGTTTTTATTTTATCTTCACTTTGTTTCCTTTTTCATGAAGTTCTTTCAATTTCTTATGCGACTATTTTTCAACAATTTAAAATAAAAATAAGTGCAATTAAAATGACTACAATAAAAACAAAATAGGAAAATTATATATTTTTAACGGTCATTATTAATGTAGTAGTGAAAGGAATGTTTCCTCCCCGTCTTACAATAAACTGTAAGAGTCTCTATTGTCTTTTTGAAAATAGAGAGACTTGACCTACACATTTTCATATCAATTTTGAGCTTCCCTTTCTCTTCTTCATTCTAGACCACTACTTCCACCTTTTTTTGGAGGGAAAGCAAAACCTGCCATTAACGAATTAAGTGTGAAGTACAAGCAAGCGGATCGGAAGGCCAAACATTGCCTTCGTCCTCAGAGTTCTTAGCCAAAACATGCGCAATAGAATTAAAACGCCTTGAAAAGTAACAGAAATGAACCTGTGAAAAAGAAGAGGCCAAGAGCCTACACTCGCTCTCAATAATTCCCAAATAAGAACAATCATCAACTTGCCTCCTGTTTAAGGCCTGGATGAGCAGTGAACAATCTGAAAATAAAGCAACCTCCGTGACTCCCCTCTCCTTTAGCCAAGACAATGCTTCCTTGATTGCGAAAGCCTCCCCAACTCGAGCCTCAAAAGGACAACGAACGATTTTACTAAAGGCACCCCCAAAGGATCCATCCTCCCTCAACAAGACCGTTGCCACCCCAACCGAATGTGAGCGCACGTGAAGAGCGGCATCCACCATACATTTGAAACCCCCCCACACTGCCACCTGATGCGAGGACGACGCAAGGGGCGGATCTGCTGCAGTGGTTAGAGGGTTTGCTATGCATCCCACATCGGAGAATGTCTTTCAAAAAAAAGGAATAAAAATGTGGAGATGAAACTGATGGGCGTGTTATGTTAGGTGGTTAAAGCACGCATTTTCTGACCGGAGATCATTAAATGCCAAGGAAATCCAAACTCGGCGATAATTCTTTTAAATTACATATGTATGAATTTTTAATGAATTTGCGCCGAATTTGGAATTCCTTGGCAAATATAAATGTCTGTTAATTTTTTTAGTTTTATAACTTTCTTGGTTTATATTTTCCCCGTCACGAATTAATTGGAAAAAGTAATATAATCATGTCACATCTTCTTTCGTAGAATTTTTTTGATGTAGTTTTTAAATAGTAAATTTTATTTTTTTATTCTTTCCTCATTCTCAATTAATTTGATTTGAAAATAACTTTAATCAATGTCATTAATTTGGCAAATATAAATGTCATTAATTTTTTTTAGTTTTATAACTTCCTTGGTATATATTTTCTCTGTCACGAATTAAATTATTTGTTAACTATTCACAAAATATAACTTTATTTACATTTTTTCTTATATTCGTTACTTAATTGGAAAAAGTAATGTAATCATGTCACACCTTTTTTCGTAGAATTTTTTTATATAGTTTTTAAATAGTAAATTTTATTGTTATATTATTTCCTCATTCTCAATTAAATTGATTTGAAAATAACTTTAATCAAACATCGTAAACCAAAATAGAGAATTTAAACTTTATCATGCATGTGGAAACACACATATTTTCAGACTTCATCACTACACATCTCTAAGAACATTATCTTAATGGTCAAAATGCAACATTGAATACCGTAAAAACTCAAATGAAAAGATTATTTTCATAGGGAGGGGATATAAACTAACAAAGGATTTTAATGTTGAAAAGACTACAAATTTACTGCATTTGTGTAATTCTTTCTCTCAAACACACGCAGGCTTGAGCATCAGATAAAGCAGCATTACCGCAACCCGCTAAGGAATAGCACAGACTCCTCCTAGACAACAGTGTTGCATCACATGGACTTTCCTTTATTGCCTGTATGTCATAGAAAATTCCCAAAAATTAAGGGTGCATATACAGCTAGGTGCCTAGGTAGCACAAAAATGCTTAAATCTGAAATTTTAATTATATGATCTAATGAGAACAAAAAAAATTGTGTGGGTACTACACATGGCAAGCAACACCCCGGGGAGTATTATGCCTCTCTGTTATTCCGTATATGTGCATAAATGAGTCACAGCATGATCACAGTAATTATGATATTCTAGGTTAAATGATTCAGAACACATAGTTGGATTCAGGTAAACGGGCCTCCACGTAGGCCTGCAACAATAAGGGTACATAAACAGCCATTTGATCTCCACCAAAAACAGCATTGAACCCCTTGGGAACTAACATATGTTACAGAATAGCACACCCCTCCAATAAAATCAAGATACATTAGGTGTTATGAAATATGAGTTGAGAATAAAGATAAGCCCAAATCACCCTGAGCAATGGGGATCTTGTGTCAATTCCTATGAGGATTAGCACTTAAATTCCTAAAATATAATATATGTGAATATGTGATGAAATGTTTCTAGAGAATAAAGATAAAACCGAGAATACAACGAACATAGCTCCATGCTATTCAGTGGAGGACTGGGCCAATTGCTATGAGGAGAAAGGGGGAGGGGTAAAAGAATTAAAGAAAAAAGAAATATAACTCCACCAACCACAAAGATAATGCAGCACCACGTGCCCTGAAGTTTCTTCTATATACAAACTAACAACAAGATAATTTTAATGTTGAAAAAGACAATACAAACTTACCGTATTGTACCAACCAGCTGCAATTGCGTAATTCTTTCTCTCGAATGCATCTTCAGCGTGTAGCTTTGACTTGTGGAATACTTCCTTCCGGACATTAGCTCTCTGTAAGTGTGCCAACAAATAGAACACTGAACTAATGCAACACAAAAGCCACTCATAAAATAACAAAGCCACTCGTAAAATAACAAGGCCACATACAGGGCTTATGAGAAGCAACAAGGTTTGAGGTTTAGAAGGATGCATAAACCAAAAAAATTAAAACAAGAAGAATATATAAGTAGATGTGTTAATTCATAAACATTGCATGATTGGAAAAAAATGGGGCAAATTGAAGCTCCTACCTCCCTCCCTCACATTCCCTCTTACCACATCTCTAACGATCCAAAGAGGGATGCATTTATAGAGTACATATATGTTTTGTGTGTGTGTGTGTGTGTATGACTTCAGCAAAATATTATAAATAAATCACAGAAAGAAAATGATGTTGAGCCGAGACCAATTGTTTAGATTCTTCAGAGTCAACATATTTGACAAGTCCATCAACACTCCAATCCGAGATAGAAGGAATGGGCTTGGTCACTGGAAACAGAACTGCGAGCGCCTTGAGATGTCTTCAGTTCACAGCATTCTACAATGGAGTCAAACCAGTCTGACATTAGCAAGCATACAAATGAGCACTGTTAAGATGAGAAAACTAACTCAAACTAAAATAATAAACTGGATTTTAGTATAAGTAAAAGAAAGAGAGAAAGTATGTTGCCATAAATATTCAGGTTGAACATATATGACCAAAGTGTAGTAAAGAAGGTACAAGATGTAAGTGGTTTGATCGAGGTATGCCCACATGTAGATTAGAAAGAGTATTATTAAGAGGTCATGAAAATAGAGCAATTCTTATTCATTTCCCTTTAGTTTAAATCCATAATGCATATCCCTATGAAAAATTTTAATGCATTCAGGGTCAGTAGGGGAATCAATGAAAAAATTAAGTCGGTCCATGGGTTCTTATATTTTTCTTACATTTCTAGTACCAACATGAGCTCATCAATCTCTCATTGGGGATGTCAAGACTCATATAAACAAATGTGAAGTGTGTCAAAGACACAAATATGATGCTACTGCCTCACCTTGTTATTGCAAGCTTTACCCATCAATGGGGAAGTGTGGACTAACATTTGTATAGATTTCATTGAAGGGCTGCCGAAAGTTCAGTGCAAGGAAGTCATTTTGGGGTGGTTGATAGACTTAGCAAATATGGACAGTTTATTAGTCTAAAACATCCCTACACAACATATATTGTAGCCCAAAAGTTCTTGGACAACATTTTAAGTTACATGAACTGCCGACTATAATTACCAGTGACAGAGATACTTTATTCCTAAGTGATTTCTGGTAGGAACTATTCTCACAATAAATAATTACTTCATATCAAACAAGTATTCAAATAAGTAAAATTCAATATTCCAAAGAGATAAATAAGAAGTAGAAAAAAAATAATACTGTATAAAGGAGGAAGTATATCATAACTTTACACACTTATAACTCTCTTTGATAAGCAAAAAAAACCATTTTAAACAATGCATTTCAAACGTGCATTCAAATTCTGAGAATGAACAAATTATAAGTTTATCACAGTTTTTATTAAAGGGCACTCTTTTGATCCACTTATTCTTCTTTTTCTAATTCTATCTTAGAAAGCACTGGAAATGTGCACAATTTCAACACAATTGACCTTTTCAATCACTATTATCCGAAACAATATTGATTCCTCAGAAATTAAGTGTTCAAGAATTCGTGGGTTCTCATTAACAAAACAGATGAATAATTCATATTTACAATCAAATTCATGAAAACAAAGATCAGGATGAGTTATACTTGGAATCATCTGGACGAAATAGAACACCAACCGACCGAGTTCTTACCGAGTTAACGATCCGTTCATCTTCAACCACAGCACCGTTGCAGAATATGAAGTCGATTGTCCGGGAATCATCAATAGAAGAAGGGTTTCTTTCAATGAGACCGGGGCGGGGCGGAATAGATTATGGATCTTTACTCAACTAGCTCAAATTAATCCCACACCGGACAATCCCATACAAACAATACCTAATTTAATTACGGCTATAAAACCGAATATATGACTTGGATTCATTTCACAAATTTATTATTCTCCTGGAAGTCCAAATTCAAACACTTTGAGTTCTAAAGAACTTCTCATTGTTTTTGTTCTAACATTTGAACTATCACGCAAATGTAAATCTTGTTGATTCTTTTATGTTTATGGTTATTATTCAATTCTATAAACATTTACATGTATTTCTAAAGGACCAACAGACACTTATAATAAATTAGTATTTTAATCCGTGCAACGCACACGATTGAAAATTTTTCACTTCTGTAAATTATCTTCAATTTAATATTTTAAAATGAATTAATATATGATGAGAATAACCTTCTAAAATTATAGATCTCAATAAATATAGTAAATGAAATAATTAAGATGCTGCATTATAATAAAAGGGTATGATTGGAAGAGATCCGCGCCATATATGGCCAAATGTGTGAAAAACAATGAGAAGTGTTATATGTGTAATATTAGATGTCTTAAAGTGCTACGTACGTTGATTTCTAATATGCCTGACCCTACTAGTTATATATAGATTCCCCAGTGATGCCATAACACCAAGACGGAATCTAATAATGGCAATGAAAACGAATGTCCCTGCTGGATTTAGAAAGCATCCCTATCAAATCTACATGGGACAATGCCATACAAACAACAAGACCGAATATAACAACTTAGATTTCAAATGGGTCTAATTTTTAAGCATGCTCATTATATGGGTCTTAGTGCATCATAATATAAAAGAAGTGAGCCTTTTCAAAAAAGAAAATATCAACATACAAGCCCATGAAAAATGTAAAAAAATCCGCATTTTAAATGTGAACCTTGGGATCATGTAAGCATCACTCTTCAAATAGTTGGATTTTTAAAATTTTGCTTGGGCATATGAACTTTCAGAGAATTTGAAAAAAAGACTAAACTAGAAGTAAAACATATCTCAAATTCTTAAAATAAGAGTTCAAACTTAAATTTCTCTATGTAAGAGTAATTGACTTAAACTCCTTTATTACCAAAGTAATTTCGCTGCTCCTTTGATTTGGAAAAAGATGAAAATCTTTCTCCTTTCTTTTTTCATCCGTCCCATAAAACACTTATTATTTCTATTAAAAAGTCACTTTTACCCCTTACTTTTTCATACCCTATCTATCACATCATACCTTTTTATTAATAATCTACTCATCAAATCCTACCTTTACTCATCACATCAGAGAACATTTTTGAAAATTTAATATCAAAATACACTCCCCTTAAATCTCTTCAAAATCAAAACATCCCATGTTTAAAGGAACGGAGGGAGTACTTTAGTCTTGACACCACCATTGACCACATGTTATACATAAACACGCACAGACAATAATTATTCGTGCATGTCTGTGCAAAACAGTGGGGTAACATCGCCTTTTTTGGATGTAAAAATAGGGTATGTAAAAGAAATATTACCTTCGTCCCTGAGTATGTTTTCAATTTTAACTTTGTGAATCAACTGTGTTTAACCTTTGACATATAATTAAACAAAATATATATTGTATATGAAATGGGTAAAATGATATTTTGAAAATATTTATATGATAAATCTAAAAAATTATTTTTGTATCAATATCTAATATCATTTTTATTTAATTTGATGTCAAAAGCTTACCAATTTTGACTGAAAAAAGTCAAAAGCAAATAAATATTCATGGACGGGAGAGTAAATTGAAAAATGGACATGGTATTAGCAATGAAGTAGAGGCAGAGTATTAAGTTGGGGACAAAATATAGTTTCCATCGAATAATGACTCACGGAGTTGTTCAGCCTACTATAGAATTTTAGCGAAGCCCCCTATAACTAATATAATACCGATTTACTGGTGGGGTGGGGGTGGAAGCCGGTAGTCTTTTAAAAATTGTCTCTCTACTTCCAAATAAGAGTAAGATTTGCATACATGCATTCACCCTCCGGGAGCCCATGCCCTACTTTTTGTAAGATTGCACTAGGTTAGTTTTTACTAGGGAGGAAAGATCACTGAGAGTCGAAGACCCTTCCTTGCACATATAGTGGCGCGGCGAAAGATTGTTATACGCGCAATGCTCCCATTTCAGCTTCTACGGCCTCCCTGTCATCAAAACAAGCTGTCAATCAACAATTGTGTCGCATACATTAGGCCTCGTTCTCTTCAACTTGTTTTTTTCGACTTACTACTTGTGCTTATCAGAATCAGATCAGATCAGATCAACAACAACTTTAAATTAAACTACAAACACATTAGATAGTAATATAGATTCATATACCTCACTGCCTCTTGCATTTCCCGGTTTCCTGGATCCAACGCTAATGCACGGGAAAATGATCTCTCTGCATTTGGATAGTTCTGCATGCATTCGTAATGGTTTGAAGTTGGGAATATAGAGTATGTTGCATGCATTTAACTAGACAAAAAGAGCTTTAGGGCAAAGAAAAAAAGATTGGCATACTTTGAGCAACCTCCATGCTACGCCTTCTTGGTAGTGTGCTATCGGCCAGTCAGGTCTCAAACACACGCAGGCTTGAGCATCAGATAAAGCAGCATTACCGCAACCCGCTAAGGAATAGCACAGACTCCTCCTAGACAACAGTGTTGCATCACATGGACTTTCCTTTATTGCCTGTATGTCATAGAAAATTCCCAAAAATTAAGGGTGCATATACAGCTAGGTGCCTAGGTAGCACAAAAATGCTTAAATCTGAAATTTTAATTATATGATCTAATGAGAACAAAAAAAATTGTGTGGGTACTACACATGGCAAGCAACACCCCGGGGAGTATTATGCCTCTCTGTTACTCAGTATATGTGCATAAATGAGTCACAGTATGATCACAGTAATTATGATATTCTAGGTTAAATGATTCAGAACACATAGTTGGATTCAGGTAAACGGGCCTCCACGTAGGCCTGCAACAATAAGGGTACATAAACAGCCATTTGATCTCCACCAAAAACAGCATTGAACCCCTTGGGAACTAACATATGTTACAGAATAGCACACCCCTCCAATAAAATCAAGATACATTAGGTGTTATGAAATATGAGTTGAGAATAAAGATAAGCCCAAATCACCCTGAGCAATGGGGATCTTGTGTCAATTCCTATGAGGATTAG